GGCAGGCCCTGTGAAGCTATGTTGCTTGAGCTTTGGCTTCAGCCTTGGGCAGCAGGGCTCAGGCTTCAGCTTCAGTCCCGGGCTCCAGCGAGTCACAGTCTAACTATGCCTTGGTTCCCCATATGTCAAACTGGAAAGGGCACCATACAAGTACTTCAGATAGGCTTCTGTTTATCACATCATTCTTCCTTTTAGTAAGACATATTAAGCTCCAGTATGTCTCCCTTCTGTACTAACTTGTTCTTGCTAGTCACCCTTCATTGCAAAGAACAAACTGTGCTACCCTTTTATTACATTTCTTCAGCCTTTTCTACCTACTATTTGCTCATATAAATTAGTAACACTCATATCCTTTACACAATAGTAATTTCTATCAGGATCACTGATTGATCATTTGGACATTAAAAATAGTTTGGCTTGTCTGCTAATTTCCTGGCAATTCTAAAAACCTGGGTTATGTAGAGGAAGGCGGAGCAGATCTGTCAGTCAATAAGCAATTTAACACTTACTCCCCCATCTTCTTGACTGCAGGTAGCTTAAGGAAGGTTTCAATAGCTGCAAAGAGTCTACTAGAAAAGCAACTACCAAAATAAATAGAGCCATCTAGAAAACCCATGGAGACAGATTGCTAGACATGTCCTCAGTGAAGAAATAAGCTAAATTTGGGTCAGCCATCTTGTCTACCCTGCAGCGCAGCTGCTCACATATTCTGAGGCAGTGCAGTAAAAGGAGCATGATCTCAAAGTATGCCAGAAATTAAATTAAAAATATAAAACCTAAGGTTCATTGCTGGAACTAAAATTAAGTTATTGATATTAAAGAACAAGCCTGAGATGTGGCAAACAGTAGCAGGAGCTTGGACACTTTGTTCTTCCCCTTGTTTGACAGCGCTCTACTACCCATTGTCACTACCCGGCAGGAGGGGCAACCCAATCATTCAGTCTTGATATTCAGAGAAAAAAATGCCTGCTTTGCTCATGTCATCCGACTGACTGTTCTGAAACCAAGTATTAGGATTTTATGCTTTTTTATGTAGAATATGAGAGTGGCTTGAAAATAAGATTTCTGCACTAACTTTTCCTTTTTGCACTACAATTAAATAGCTATCTGGGTTGGCAAATGATTCTTGAATTGAAAGTAATTAAGTTTTCAATCACAATCCTCTCTCAAAGCGTAAAACTATATCAGTTGATTTTTACATAATAGGATTGTTCTTGTTTGCAATATGCGAAATGGCACTGCATCTGTTTAGTATATGACAACAGCCTAACCTTAAACAGGCCTCTGGTTTGCACCTACAATTTTGCACAAGCTGTTATTTACACGTATTTGACTGTGTCTCCAAATCAGGTACTTAAGATTTCCAAGTAACATCAATTGCACCCTCAAATTTATTACCGACTGCAAACATAAGAAAGCTGATCAAGCTTTCAAAATTGTATCCAGTGTCAAAGGAGGAGATATTACAGTCATTTTGTTAGAAACTATTTAAGACATTTTCACATTAAAGCCATGGGCTTTTCAAAAGCACTCAGTACTGGCCTAACTCTGCTCCCACTGAAGTCAACAGGACTCTTACCAAATTATTTCAATGGGAGCAGTTAGGTTAATATCAAGTGCTTTTGAAATGCCCACAAATATTGTCTAAAACAAAATGAAAACCTATCAAGGAAATAAGGATAAACACGAACTATTGCAACACTGATGCTACTGCAGACAAAGGTAGCTAAAAGTTGCTGGGTGACACTTGGCCAGGCTCATAAGATAAACAGATGGACACTAAAATGTGGAAGTCTAAAGGAATAAATGGCAGTCTTACAATGACAAAGTAGTTAACTTACAGCTTTATTGCCAAAATGTCAAATTCTGGCTGCTTGTTAGGGAGAAGCAACAAGCATGGAGATGCCTCACCTGTTCTGGTGACAAGAGCTCAATTAGCTCTACCAGAAGGGCAGAATCCCTCCAAAACAAAAACAAACAATGCACATTTTTGTTAAAAAAGAAAAAAAGCATAAACAAGGAACAGGTTTGACCATCCTATCTACCTCTTCTAGGGCATTTCAGCAGCTGTCAATACACCACTGTATCAATTCTTATTTCCTGTGCAGTGCATGAGCAAACTTTTTTAGAATAGGTCAGGAAGTGTGCAGCCCCAAAACATGGCTTTTCAGGGCTTATTTTTGTCAGGAGAACTCTTAATTTTTAGTCAGATTAGGGTCCTTAATCATACAACTTAACATTCAGAAAGATTTACAAACTTACCAGATCCTTTTCTGCCTTTTTATTGGATAAAGCATCAACTTTGGAATCAAGCTCTGCCTGAATTTGGTCTCTTCTTTTCAGAACACCCTTTAAAACATTAAGATGAAATAGATTGTATTTAATTGTAATAATCTGTTTACAAAGACGTCTTGCAATCAAGAGTACTTACCACTTTAGAGAATTTATAGATTATCCCATCAATAGAATTCTCAGATTTAAAAGATTTTACTTAGATAACTTCAAAGCATCTATTGTAGATTTGTTTTTATTACCCCCATTTTTTTTTTAACTGAAAAATTGTTAGGAATCCTACCAAACCCAACGCTACGAGAATCTACGTAGCTACAAATTATAAAGAATTATGTAGTGAGTCGGTCTATGAAATAGTCATATTATTTTAATCCTTTACAAGAAACGTGATTTAGAGAAGTCCCAATACTGGAAGTATTTTATTTGAATAAAAGCAATAGCACAAGAGATAGGACTCAACTAAAATGATATACCAGATACTATAGGAAATATCAATGTAAGTCCGCTATGTTATGTATGTATGTACCACAGTTTGGTGGCAAAGGAAGAGGAAAATTATCAAAATTCTTTATCTGAAAATAATCAACTAAATCTATCAATGTTAGCAAGCCCACTTTTATTTAAAGTTAAGGCTAATTCAATAGATTTGATTCTTAGTGGAATGGCAAAAACTAATATAAAAAGGGAGGGAATGTTGTCAGACTACAGGGCCAGTAATTATGACAGGTTACATTCCAAACTGCTCTGGATTTGCAGTGTGACATCAAAGAAGTCAGTGAAAAGGTCTGTGCCTCAGTTTCCCCATCTGTAAAACTGAAATTAAACTTCCCTCACAGTACTATTATGAAGCTTATGTCTTTTTAAGAAGACTCAGAAGAAAGATAGTATGCAAGTATAAATTCAAAAACTCTCTGATAATCCTGTATGTTATCTTGTCCCAACAACTTCTACCTCTTTAATTTAGATATTCTTAGAGATTTACAGTGTTCATATATAGTACAGTATATGTTAAACAGTGTAGGGCATAACCAGTCCTAGTTAGAAGTTTATTTCACATTATGCTAGTTGTCAAAACGTTAATGTTGAAGAGGAAACACACTGCCACCCTGACTAGCACACATTGAAGATGTTTATCAATAAGATACCTTTTTAAAGATAGAAAAGACTATCTTTTCAAATAGACATTACCCAGAATTTTTAGTAACAGTTTTTGGTCAATTATAAGTAATACAACTATAGTACATACTTATAACAAAACTTACTATTCACTACCTTAAAGTATCTCCTGTCTGATTACAAACATCAAATATATGGTTATAAGAGTAAAATTGAAACAAGTAGAAATGGGTTAATATTCTTTTGTGTATTTTTTTTCCTTTTACTTCCTCTTTTATCCTATATAAAACTACAGGAGAAACCATTAGAATTTCTCTGTTTGTCAGCCATTATAACAAATATCTATTCTAATTCCAAGGTAAAACTAATAATTTCAGTACTAATATGTGCCAGCTATTGGCAAATGCTTTTTTGTAAATGAGGAACCCAGGAATGTTCATTAGTTCTCTAATTATTTTCACATTTTTATTAATTTAGTAAGTTAAACAAATAAATATATTATGCTTCCACAGTTCCTCTGCTGCTCTAATCAGTAGCACATTCACAAATCCTCCAAACAACAGTACTCTGACCTAAAACAAATGTCTTGCCTGTTAACTGTTTTCTGAGGCATAGTGGTAGTATAGGCCTACTTTCCCCAGGTTTGTCCTGTCTCCCCTGTCAGTCAAGTAGGAGGGATCCAATCCAGATGCAAAGATTTTTGGCTCTGGAACCTCCTCCTTAAGATCCAAATGCATCCGCTTTCCCATTCAGCACTTCCAAAGCCAAAAAATATGAGGATTATCCTGCCTTACTGACAAAACCTTTGCTTAGGCATACACTTTTATGGAGACAATTTGGGAGGTGCTAGCACTGCCATACCTCAGAAAACAGGTTTTTCCAAAGCGTGGCTATGATCAGTGCATTCTTAGTCTGCCTAGGAGTACCCTAACCAGCGTGCAGGGCAGAAGTGAGCATTAGAACAAAATATCCAGGGTGAAAGAAGGGAGAGAGACTGGCATGGAATAGAGGAGGAAGGAGCCAACTGCTTAAGCCTGCCTAATGTTGCATTGGAAGGGTTGCACCAAGAACTCAGTATCCCAAAAGGTATGAGAGCTAATGTAGACACACCCAAGCAACATTCATTTCAGAGATGCGAATGAAAGGCCACATAGTCACTCTGCAGTTTGTCCATAGAATCTCTCTTGTCAGCACACACACAGCAACTGTTCTGATGAGATGGGCAGAGAAAACTGGCAAAGGGACAGGCCAAACTGCAAAGAAGAAGTAACAAATATGTCTGAGGAGAAAGTCTGGGGCAGGTATGGGTAACTGTCTTTTCATACTTAAAAATAAGACTAAGGAATCGAGGGTGTCACCTGCTATGGCTGCAATCTTTCCAACCTTCAGGCAGAGTAAGAGCTGCCTCCCAGGACATGCAAAGGATGGAAATGAAATCTAAAGGCTTGAAGGAGCACAGGATAGTAGCACTGTCCCAAGTTGAAGGTTACGATTCATTATGATGTGGATACCCAGTGCAGAGGCTGCCACGCTGACGTAATTAACTTCAGCAGGCCATAGTCTCTCTCTGCCGTCTTTAATGCTATCAGGAAAGAGGTGGGCAATGCAAAGAAATCAGCCCTGGCCAAGATGACTGTGTACTCTCCCTAATATTAAGGCTTTGGGATCTCTATACAGGCTGTAATACTTGTCTTAGCTGGTGGTTTGCGATGGATGTAGAGTGAGAGATTGTTGGTCAAACTGTTCAATTAACCATCTTCTGGAACACCCCATTGTGGATTGGTCATTCTCCTGGGATGATCTGCTTACAGATATGTGCACTCTGGGATGTAAAACACTCTCAGGAGAGGATTCTCCCATAAGGGAGCTGCATTTACAGCACCCTGGCTATTCTCAAATGCTGCTATCACAATGTTGTTTATTCCAATGAGGACAAAAATGTCTAGTCAGGACTTCTGTGGGGACAGTACTGCTAGGCAGACAGACCTTAATACTAGGATGTAGATGTAGAGGCTCTGATCTTTGCTTAACCAATGTCCCTGAATTGACCCATACTGTATTGTGTTCTTATTCACTAAGACAGAGTAAAGATTTTCCTAGTTGTCTCCCACCAATGGGAGACTCTGTCAGAGAAACTGTTAGAAGGGCTTTGAATGGAACAGAATGCACGGTACCAGGCCCTGGCATGACATCTGCATGACCATATGGCAGATTCTTATCTATTAAAGAAGTTCATTGCCATTTTCCAGAATAGCAGTCAGGATTTTAAGGTTTAGAAACATCTCCAAGGAGGGAAAAACCTTGCCTTACTTTGTGTATCAGTCTCCATTCCTAGATGAGTCAATATTTAGACACAGAGAAGATAGTTCGTCTGTATTCATCATAAGTTGTAATTCCTTGAACCCTTCTACATAAGGACAACTATTCTCTCCACTAGCATGTAAGCCTTTCCTAAGGTGCAACAATTTCCAGGGAAAGGACACACAACCCCTCAACCCTTAATGTTGCTGTTATGGGGAGCTAGCTGTAAGAGGAAACTGGAGAGGACTCCCCACAGTGAAAAGAAATCTTCTCTTTGAGACTGGACGCATCTTGTCTGATTAACAGGGAAGAAGAAGAAGAAAAAGATTCTGTGCAAGAGGGCAGCCATCCTAAGGAAAATTATTCTTGCTTTTATTTTTTTTAAAAATAAGCTTTTTTCACTCTGTAACTCATTTGTTATGTTCTCAATTAGCAGCAGAAAGACAAATTGTAGCCCTCAAAGAGTTAATGCAGTGACTGCAAAATCAATTACATACAAAGCAGATTCTCTCTTCAAAGGTCACTCAATATACCAGTATAAGCAACCCTTATGGTCTTACCGTTAATATTTCACTGTAGAGAACATATTCATGTAGAACAGGCAGCAAATTTTCTGATAGTCCTGCCATTCGATTCTCAGTAGCTTTGCAGCACTTGTCAATGCAGCTGGCAACACCTTTCAGCGAATCTACTAGATCTTCTTCTGATGCACACCAAAGAGTATGGATTGGACCATATTCCTTCATTTCACAATAATACCCTTAATAAGAAGATTACTGCATATTAGTACTCAAGTCAATGATAGATGCAAAGCACAGAAACAGGCTAGTTTCAAAATCTGGCCAAATGATCCTCAAAAAGAAGGAGATATTACAGTAACAAAGCTTTCTTCTTCTTTTGTTGTTATTTTTGGTCAACGGAAACATCTCATACTTTTACTTGTTAAGCTATTACCAACATATTGCTAAAAAAATCAATCAGTGAAAAATTACCTTTTTGAAAGAGCTGTACATGCACAATAGAGTCAGTGGGTGCGCTTAAGTTCATTCCAGTTCTGGAGTACCGCTTTATTACTACCACTCTAGAAGTATTTCTCTTTTTAAGTATAAGAAATATCTTCAGAAAACAATCATTAGCTCTATAGCGCAATAAAACTTTGTAAGCGTGGCCACAGTATTCTCTCAGAAAAAGTAGGGCCAGATACTGCCACTTTTATAGAACTTTACTCTGGAGTAGTCTCATTCATTTCAATAAACTACTAAAGATGAGCAAAGCAGAATATGGCCCTATACAGTGTGTTCACTTTACCAATGTTCATGTATTATGGGCCAAGGTAAATTGAAGTGGCTATGACTTTGGATCAAGTCCACACTGCTCTAATGTCACTTTCTAATTTGATTCTGACTGCTGAGGTTTTCACAGTCCCTCCACTTTTTTTGCCCTCTACAACTTGGTCACAGCTGACTTTATACCAAAGAAACATCCAACAAAGAGACACGTGAAGCAGTGTGTGTAGAGAGGGATGCTTGTTTTGAGTTTAGTTGGTCAAAAAAGCCCTGGAAACTTAATGGAAAATCCCAGATTGGGCTACAACTAGTAGGAAGCATCACTCACTGCTTGACAAATGGTTCACTGCGGAGACAAAATCAGCTTTGCACATGACAAGTGTTCTGCAGATTACTGTTGGGAAAGGCTAGACGTAAGCAACATCTGGCAGCACTTGAGAGTGAATAAAACTCCATGAGGCTTTATCACCAGTATTTTGGTGCTGGTGCTTTAAATGTATAACCACAAACTTCTCCTCACTATATGCCAACTACACCTAGTGGAATGAACTGCTAAGACAAAAAAAAAATCCCTTTGATCAATATGTATTTCCTTTGTGCAAGGAACACGCAATCTAGTCAGGACATGCAGAGATCTGGAATGACAGAATAAGCTAAAGGAAATAAAGCCTTAGTTATTATGGAACACAGTGAAGCATTTCAAAGTATTTTTACATGCAAGAGAAAACCCTCAAGTATTGACCAGTGGGATTTTTAAAACATAGTTCAGCGTGAGATCAGATTCAAGCTCAGAAAGTATATAATTTAAAGATTCAAGTAAGCATGCAAGCTGCTGTTCCATTCAGAACAAACTTTTTTTCTTGAAAATCAAGGAAAATTTTAACAAGAGCATGAAGTTCAAACAAACCCATCTGACAGATGTTATGACCAACAAGAAAGGTAATATTTTTTAAAATTCTCTTTCATGTGACACCAAATAAAGATGCAGAATCAACCAAAAGAATGGATGTGACAGTGTTACATGTTCAGATTTAACAAGGCTTAGGACAAATACAATTCCGTTGTGGGGGGAAGGAAAAGTAACTTTCCCCACAACATATTCCACTGTGTTCAGTTTTTGATATTTTTATTTGCCTAATTACTTATGGCATTTTTTATGATATGTCAGGTTACATGACTGATAAGGTAAAGAAATTTCTAACCCAATCATATTACTAACAACATCTGTGGCAACAAGCAATTCCTAATGAGTTACAAATATCTTTCAATAGATCATTATTTTATAAATCACATAAAAATCTGCAGTAACAAATATTCCTCATCAGTCACAGAACATATTTAGATTGTAAGCACCCTTCATCAATTACACCATATTGTTCATTATAACATATATCTATAGTAACAGACATCTTTTGATAGTAATCAGGGATCCCTTCCTGAACATCTCAACATTTTTTTGTTGATTCTACACACTCCAGTATTTGGATATACACACAGACTAAGGTTCAAAATAAGTACAAAGAACTTCTCAGTTTGACAGGTACAGAACACTATATTTGTAGAAACAAAAAACTTCATATACGAAAGAGGTTCTGGTTAACATAAGAATTTGTAGGGGTTTGAATATCTACAAACAACTGGGATTCAGAATGTGATTGTCATTATGCCAGTAGGAAATAAGTCTTTATATCTCACTTTAAGAAGTAGTCATCTGTACACAACAAAAAGTGTTCATACTGTTCTTCCAATTAGTATGGTAAAAAGCCAACCAAACTTCTAGGTTTTCTTAGTTTTCAGTTTCTTGTGAGCATAGTTAAACTACCCTCCCTATTACTACATTATTTATGCTGATTCTGTCCAAGGAAGTTCCACGTGTGACTCAGTAACAAGCAAGAGAAAGGTGAGGTTATCGGCAAGTTATTTTCCTTCTCCTCTCTTGAGAGATGAGCATGCTACCTCTGCAGGCATCCTAAAAACTTCAAACCAATGAGGAAGGCTTCCAGATGTGGATCCCCACACAGCTGTACACTGATCTGCCAATAGGCTGAGGATTAGCCATTGAATGAAAAAAGTAAGACAGTTTCTTGTTCTCCATTTCTCTTGCTAGAAAGCAGCATTTTGTGTGGAACAGTGAAAGCGAACTAACTTTTCACAGTAATTCACTTGTTCAATATATTACTTTCTGAAGTCAATAAAAACAAGCGTGTGTTCATTATTTCTACTTACCCCTTTCTTCCTTGTAAATTCTTTGGGATATTTTGTCTAGCAAGTTTATTTTCTGATTAAATGTTTCCATATAGTCATTTATATCTGTAAACATATCAGGACGATTTTTAACTCCTCCTCCTCTTACTGAGGATGCTACAGCTCTTACAGTTTGTCCCATCCTGCTAAACAAGCCAGGACCCTGCTTCTTGTGAGATGAAAGTTCCTACAAGAAGAACATACCCTTGTGAATATTTTAATGTTGTCTATCCATGGTTTACAACTAAAGCAAAACAAATTAAAACAATAAAACTACACAGGAACGAATAAAACAAACCAGGGCCGCCCGGGGGGGGTAAGGAGGGTGGAAGTGGGGCAATCTGCCCCAGGCCCCGGGCCCGCAGGGGCCCCCACGAGAATATAGTATTCTATAGTATTGCAATTTTTTTTATGGAAGGGGCCCCCGAAAATTGCTTTGCCCCAGGCCCCCTGAATCCTCTGGGCGGCCCTGAAACAAAACTACTTTAGGTTTTCATTTGATGTCTAGATCTTATTGTAAAGTTATTAAATATGTAGCAATTAGACTCTCTTTCCCTTCCTCCCCCCACCCCTTTACTAATTTCCCTTTTTATATTGTGATTGAAGGCTGTATGGTCAAGGATAACCATTCTGTGTCATAGGTTAGCCATGCTCTACTTAAGCAGGGAGCATGCAGGGGGATTAGGAAGGGAAGGATTAAGACAATACAAACCTCTTCCCCTTTCAGTCTTAAAGCAGAGTCAGCCAGTATGCAGACTTTTGGGCAAGACAACAGAGGGAAGCATGTGCAGAGAAAAGTCATCCATTGGGGAAAATTATGTTCTTACAGTGAACAGCAGCCCCTCTTTCTTTCCTTTTTACTTTCCCTCCACTTCTATAAACTGCTAATGGAACATTTGGTTAAGTTCAGAGCTATGCTCTTTGGAGGACAAAATTCTTGCTTTCTTTTCCAGTGGATACATTCTGCACAGCTTACAGTGGGAAATTAAATGGTGGTCTATTGGCTGCATTGTCAATGAACAGATTATTACTACTGTTTTTAAAAAATATGGGCAAAAAGGGACAGAAATATCAAAACAAAAAATAATTTAAAATCACATGCATTAGAATTAGAAGAGTCAGAATAAGAGTTTTGGAAGGGAGACCAACCCTCATTCTTCAGAGCATAAGACAAACTCTGATGGGTATCAGAAATATTTTTTCTTATTGGCAAGTTATTCAATAGCTGCCTACTGCAGGATTCCTTGCACCTTCCTATGACACTTCTATCACTAGCCATGGTTGGTAAGAAGATACTGAACTATGCAGGCCCCTAGTAAGGCAGTTCATAATTTCTTTTAACTATAAATCAGATGTATTTTTTTTTTTACCCAGGTTTGTGCCGTAAGAAATATTTTGAAGTCTTCATTAAAAGTCAAAGTTGGATGCTCAGCAATTCGGTTCAAAAATTTATGCAATGCTTTCCTTCGAGTCTCAATGAATTCATCACTGAATCGTTCCACCATTCCTTTCATTATAAATTTTTCAGGCAATGGCTGAGGGGAAAATAAATAAATAAAACATTGTATAACTTTGCATATTACATATATTACAATAGTTCTACTACCCATGAGACGGTAGACATTCTTGTACTATTCACTACACACACACACACACACACAAAAACCCACTATAAAATTAACACAGTAAACAGTGTTTCAATCTGATTCTAGCAATAGATAATGCATCAGAATAGATATAAAATCAAGAGAAAGGAAAGGGAGAGTAGGTTAAGGAAAAGAGAAATGCCCTTATTTTTCTCTGAATTTTGCACATGCACATAAAAGATTAATCAAACTACATTAGCTTCTTAATGGTTGTTAGACCCCAGAATCCGGAAAGAGATTTCTCCAAAGCTCACTACAGATACATTTGTTCTTTTGTTTTAAATTTAACACAAAATCCAGCGAACCTACAGGAATAATCAGTGTTGGATGTGCTTCTTCAAGTCTGCTCTTCAACCAAAGGAAATCTTGATATCGTCTTCGAACTTCATATTCACTGGAGTCAAACTCACCACGAGATGTCTGAAAATCATAACCACAAAATTAAGATGGAAAATCTAAAAGTATGTCTGCACTGCAGCTGGGAGATGTGATTCCCAGCTCGGGTAGACAGATCTACAGTAGCTCTGCTCGAGCTAGCAAACCAAAAACAGCAACGTAGCTGGGATAGCACAGGAGCTGGGGCTAGCTTGAGTACCAACCCACCCAGGCTCCCTGGATACGTACTTTGGGAGCTAGCCTGAGCCACCACTTGTGCTACCCTAGCTACCTAGCTATTTTTAGCACAATTTGCTCGAGCAGCACTAGCGCATGACTGGCTACCTGAGCTGGGAATCACACCTCCCAGCTGGAGTGTAGACATATACCCTCAGAGGAGTACACCACTACCCCGATATAACAAGGGTTCGCATACAACGCGGTAAAGCAGCGCTCTGGCGGATCAGCGCGTCAGCTCCCAGCTGCGGCGCTCTGCTTCCCGCCGTCGGTGAATGCATGGAGGTTGGGGAAAGGACGCCCCCCCATACTCACCAGTGGCAGGAAGCGGAGCGCTGCGGCTGGGACCTGGCGGAGTGGAGCGGGCTCGGGCCAGGCTGCTCTGTTTCCGCCGCTGCCGGTGAGTGCGGGACCTTTCCCCAACCCCTCCCCCAGCGACACGGCTGGGGCCGGGGCAAGGAAAGTGGAGCGGGCTGGGGCCGCGGCGTTCCGCTTCCCGTCGCAGGTGAGTACGGCAGGGTGCCCTTTCCCCAACCTCCCCGCACTCACCAGCAGCGGCGGAAGCGAAGCAGCCAGCCCCAGCCCGCTCCACTCTGCCAGCTTCCAGCCACAACACTTATGCCAATATAGTACTTTCCAACTGCATCAGCCTTCCTTTTGTTTCATGTTCTTGTCATGAATAATACAAATGCCACACACACAATAGCAAATGCCAATTTCACACAAAAGGCTGCTTTTGCAATCATTAAAATAACTTCAGCTAGTCCTTTAATGATCTCTACAGCACTCAGTCATGCAAATATTCACATGAGTAATCTTACTCACCTTAAGTGTTTTTAGAATCTAGCCACTAGTTGGAAATAATTTGACTAAGCTGTTAACTCACTGCAAAATCAGAATATAATTTTGAAATGTTAGAAAGATTATTTGAAATCCTTTAAAACACTAAACACCTGTAAAGTTTTACTTTACACTTAAACTATCATGACTATTAAACACTTACCTTTGTAACAACTCTATAGGTAATGAAAGTCTCAATGGCAGTAATGTGACTTTCAGGATCATCAACAGTAATGAAGAGATCCCTTAATTCTGGCTCATCTTCAAACTTGTACTGGTTTATCATAGAAGAGGGGGATGTTGGTATCAAAGGACTGAATGAATTTGCCTCAGTCAGTGATGTATCCTATAGATAAATAAGACATTTGAAGAAATTCTTATTAACGTATAAGGGTGGAGGATTCAGACATCAAAACAATAGCTCTGAAGCAGTGGTGGGCAACTGGCGGCCCGCACAGGGCCCGTCAGGGTAATCCGCTGGCAGGCTGCGAGACAGTTTGTTTACATTGCCCATTCGCAGAAACCGCCACTCGCAGCTCCCAGTGGCCGTGGTTCGCCATTCCTGGCCAATGTGGTTGCCCACCACTGCTCTGAAGTGAACGGTTAAGATGGTAAAAGAGATAGCAGATAAAACTGCGAAAATATACCACAAACAGCCTTGTCATCCTCTTATCCTTTTTAGTGCTCAATTCAATAAGTGGTTAAAAAAAAAAACAAGAACAAGACTGATGAGAGAAAAGCAGAACACTATATTTGATGACAACATTATGGATAGCTGAAAACAGAAGTCACCTACAAATGCCCAAACTAATTAAACCAAGCACCCACTGTACTGTACAACAGTGGTTCTCAAAGTTGGGCTGCCGCTTGTTCAGGGAAAGCCCCTGGCAGGCCGGGCCGGTTTGTTTACCTGCTGTGTCTGCAGGTTCAGCCGATTGCGGCTCCCACTGGCCGCGGTTCCCCGCTCCAGGCCAATAGGGGCTGCGGGAAGCGGCATGGGCCGAAGGGACGTACTGGATGCTGCTTCCCGCACGCCCCCATTGGTCTGGAGTGGCGAACCGTGGCCAGTGGGAGCCACGATCAGCCGAACCTGCGGACGCAGCAGGTAAACAAACCGGCCC